TTGAAGAGGGAAGTTCTTTGGAGAGAAGGAATTATAGGCACTACCAAAACTGACTAATCCATTGCTGCTAATCTACAGTTAGAATAGAAGTTGCTTCAAACATGCATGATTATATTTACTCACATAAGCTCTGTTATAGTGAAAGCCGCCAAACTCAAGTGTAGTTGGTAGTGTAACACTAGCAGAACCATCATCAACATTAGTATACACATTATAACTTGATGGATAAAGGAATGGAAGAAACTCTGAAGTAGGAAATGTAATATCACAATGTAATATGTAATATGTAATATGCAGGTGGCATAGGTCCTATGACAAAAATTGTAATATCACTAGGAGTAATGTAGAACATTAAAGGGCATAAGCAAGCTAAAGACTATGTGCTGTATGATCTACATGTCTGAGCAAGCAAAGCAATTTCACAAGTCTAAATACAGTAGATCTTGTTGCAGTCATCATCATGCTTAAATTTTCTCTATCATTTCATTACTTAAAAATCTCTGCAGAAGCAGTCACTGAACAAATCATATTTGAAGAAAATGTGCTTTGTTAACCTAGGCTTGCTACTAGAGAAGAAACATCACCTAGAATAGATCTCATTATGCCACATGCAGCTATAGCTACAGTACATCACAGTGCAGCTAGCTCAAGCTAGCTACAGTAGATTACATGCAGCTTTCTCACTTGCAAATTATTGCAATTGACTTATCAGAGTCCTTTATATCAAGACAGAGTTACATACTCGTGCCATTTATGTGCATGGGGCTCACTCAGACTCGCCCCAATAAGATGCTATTAAAAAATTACATGTACTAATTCATTAAAGAGTTAAATACTGTATAAGGGTTATATTTCACTGGTAGTAAATTTCACAAATTTCGCGTTTTCATTAAATTCGCAAAATTAAATTCTACAAAAGAGGTGTGGCACACTAGGAAAAATGGCTGCTGAAGGTAAGATTCGCAAAAATTTATATCAACAAATGGCAAATATGAACAAATTCGCGAAATTTTATACCAACAAAACAAAACCTCTATACGGTACTATTGTTAAAACATTATGAATTTCAAAAAAAAAAACATCTGAAACAAAACAATTCTAACAAAATAAATTTTACTCACCAATACTACAAACAATTCCATCTCCAGTGTATCCACTAGGACAAGGTGGGCAAGTGGCACCAGTTCCAGGAGCTGGTACATCAGTACATGTAGCATTATTGAAGCATGATACTTCAGTACAACCATCAAAATCATCCTCACAATATTCTCCTTTATATGCTATTGAATGAAAAATAATAGTACTCTTGTTACTTGTATTAGATTTAAAATCAGAAGCCCATGATTATATCAACAAAAAAGTGGTTTCCACAGTATTTTTTAAATAATCATTATTAATAATTAAACATTTTGCAATACAACAAAAAGTATACTAAATACATTACCTTCCATACAATCACACATCAGTATCAATGGATTGCTGGTATTGTTCTCATATTCA